ATGTGTTAATGTAAATAAATAAAGTAATAGAGTTAAAGTTCTTTAATGCTTTTGAAAGAGTTCTCTTATGTTCAACAAGGCTGCAATTATTTAATCTGAAATACAGTAGAAGCAGTAATATGTAATGATATAGATCAGTGATTTTAATATATATCTTTATAATTTAATAATCTAATATATAATTATAATCTAATATAATTTTATAATCTATTTAATATATATTTCATATTATTAATGTTAAAAAAAACATTTGTGCTGCTTAATATTTTTGTGGAAATACATTTTAAGGATTATTTGAGGAATATAAAGTTTAAACAAACATTTATTTGAAATTAAATCTTTGTAAAAAAAAAACAAAAAAAAACAACAACACTTTTCATCAAATGAATGCATCCTCGCATTAGTATGGAAGAAAATCATACTTAACCTAAAAAATTTGAATGCTAGTGTATTTGTATGTCAAAGCAGCACTATGTAACTTTTGGCGATCTAGCGGTTAATAAACAGAACTGCACACATCCCGCGGAAGAACATTCCAACCGGAGCTACTTCTCTAAGTTTATGTCTATGGCGATTCACGCAGGTATGTGTTACTCCGCAGCGGTGACGACCCGACCAGGCTACAATAGTCCAAATATAAGTACTTATTATAAGTGTACCGTAGTGATTCGGAATAAGACAAAAACGCGGTTTGGAAGATGAATTCATGATGTACTCGCTCGTTATATACAATTAGCAAAATTTGAACACAGAAAAAGTTACATAGTGCTGCTTTAATGACTCAATGACTGTGTTGATGACTAATTTGAAACTGAAACAAGAACAGATGCATCAAATTAGATATATTTCAAGCTTACCTTTCTATACACTTAGCTGTTTTGTGCTCAAAATATCCCCTACGTGCTTTATATCTTATTGAAATGAACTAACATCTACTCTCATTTGTTAAGGCAACCGTTGTGTGCGATTTGCTCCTCCTATATTTTGTTTCAAAGAGAGATTTCTACAAAAACATGAAATTCAAGCATACAGAAATCCCGGAAGAGGTGAGTGTTTTTATTTTTTTAAATAAATAAAAGGTATTCAATATTTCATTTGAGTCACACTTGCCTTTGTGATCGCTGGTGTGTCTCTGAGAGCTCTGTGGATAGCCAATGCTAGTTCACTACCGAAACACAAGATGGCAGCAGAGATACATAGTTAGCTGCCACACAAATCTGTTACTTGAGCAGATGCAATGCCGTTTCCAAACATTTACATCAAGCTACATTCCCGTAGTAGTGTCATTATGGACAATAAATTCAGGATTTAAATAGAATTCAAATGTCCAAAGCACTTCTGAGGGTGTGGGTGTGTGTGTGAGACGAAAAGTATAACCGCAGGCGTCAGCAACTATCTTACTTTTCTATATGTATGCATGTGGGCAGACTATTGCATTCAAGTCCATGCTACACCACGGCTTCATGTAGACATCTCTGCAGTGATATAGTTACCCTAGCAACACAGCGCATTGACCATACTTGTATCTTATAAAGAAAGGAAATTGAGGGCACATCTTAACCTCCAGTACTCCCACTCTAGCAGCTTTCTGATGAAGAAAAACATTGGGGTTGATAGGAGCGTGGGAAATGATCTCAGATATGTATTTGCCCTTCCACAGAAACCAGCCTTGCCCCAGTCACAGACAGAAAAAGATCTACCAAAGGTAACGTACCATTCAAATCTTTTCAGCCGCAGATCCCTGTAGAATTATAGCATATCTCTATAAACAACTTTTTCAATTTTAGTTGTGGTCACAGTAATTCAGATCTTTGCTGTGCACAGGAGTGAAGTCAGGACGGCTGCCATGACGACTGACTATTGCACTGAAGACAGAGAGAGGACAAAAAAGCACCTGAACACTGGAGCTTAAGCAAGACGGCTGGGAGACTTGACACACAGAACTGTCAGACATCACTTTTCCTTTCTAAATCACAATTCCTTCCCAAACCACTGAGGAAAGATATTAAATCACTGTTATGATTTAAGACTCAACTAATACCCACTGGATGTGTTCATATTGAGAGGCTCAGGACTGTAAAGGTACACAATTCTTTGAGGCTTTTGAGGTCTTTACAAGGTTCCCAAAGTTTTTGGCAATTACCATGTAATGTCTGGATATGTCACTCTGGATACGGTATCCTGTATACTTTAAAATAGCTATTTTTTACTGATAGGTGTTTTGTATAGGTTTTTGTTGTTGTTTTTGTAGCAAGTCAAACTGTGAGCCTCTAATTTTTGTGTGAAATAAACTTTAGATGGTCAGTGAAACGTATGAGGTTGAAACTAACCAGCTCTTAAAGACTGGTGAGTGATTTAGGCCTTTAGTTTTTGTTTTAGCTCGTTTACAAAACACTCAGCCAAGAAACATAGGATGCTCTATGTCAAAAGTCTGGTAGTTTATTATTAGTACACAGCCTTCTGGACTGCTTGATTTTAATTGGTCAAATGCAGCATTTAATGGTATGAAATTATGACTACCGCTCATCCAGGAACTCTTAGCTGTGCTTGTGCTCTCTCTGTAAAAGTAATTGTTAATCAAATCAATAGTCCATACCCATATATTTATTTGTTTTAAAAGTAGTCGTGTAGTCATTGTACAAGAGAGAATTATCAGGTATTTCTGGACACTCATGCAGTCTCTTTCTTCCCACCTAACAAAATAGTTTGGTCTCACTTTAGTTTGGGGACCAATTCTCACTATTAATAAACTCTTAATTTGCTGCTTATTAATAGTTAGTAGGGTAATTGTTAAATTTAGGTATGGAGTAGGATTAAGGGATCTAAAATATAGAGAATATGCAGAATAAGGCATTTATTTATTGCTTTATAAGTACTAAATAACAATTAATATGTTAGTAATACGCATGCTAATATGCAACTGGTTAATAGTGAGAATTGGTCCCTAACCTGAAGTGTTACCAATAATTGAAACTCGCATCAAAATAAAACCCTTTCAGGGTGATACAAAACCTCTCTGCTTTGCACTGACATCTTGATAATTCTGTCTGGGGGTTTTTTGCAACAATGACTTGCTTTTATTTGTTGGAATTTACCTCAGTTTGTGTTTTGAGTTTTTTTTTTTTCTTTTATTAAATGATTTACAATCTTGAACAATTTTGAAATCAGACAGCACCATGAAGGATTGTTTGGTTTTATTGTGTACAAAATACTATTTTAGCAACTGAGTAGCTACTGTTATATGTATTATTATTAGGTCAATTTCATTGATTGATTCCAAGTTCATTTTTATCATGCAAAATTGAAAATACAATTCTAAATGACAAACATAAAGAAGAAACCTGAATCACCTGTGATATCTTTATTGTTTTTGATTATGTCTATGTGTACAAAAAGCATGCAAAAATAGCATCTTTATGTGCTTTGGTACATATTTACAAAGCAAGAGTTGCATTCAGTGCTTTCTCAGGACATGCTCTTTTTTGTCTGTTTTCTTTTAATTTTTTAAACAGTTACATTCAGATCAATGCAGCAGAATAGACGTCTATAAATAACCAGCAAAATCAGGCACTCTGACACAAATAACTGGGCAGTTCAAACTGTAGGTTTGTGAGTGAGACAGTGTTCTACGATTTATATACAATTCTGATATACTTTTAAATCAAGAAAGGGAAATTTAAAAAAGCATAACGCTTTGATAGTAAGAATGTTTTGCAGCTACAAAGTGCCTCAAAATGGCCACATTTTTCTCCCCTCCTTTAAATAAGTGAAACCTTTGTAAATGTGGGTAGACAAATGATCAAACCTCATCTATTGCACATGAGCCGAAACCTGGAAAAGAAAATAAAGCCTTCACACTTGAGTTGATTGCTCAGACAGAGGTATGGCATATTGGCTGCTGCATATGTTTAGCTTATACAAAAGTCCAGCAGGAAACAATTTAAAGGGGTTTAAACATTGTTTTGTCTCACATAGATATCAAAAGGAATAACAAACCTAGAGAGAAGTCTGTAAAAGGTTATAAGTTAAGGGACATGCCGTACGTCAAGACACTAACAGGTGCATAGCATACATCAAGAAGTAACTGACAAGACTACTGTACATTTGAGACAGAATGGACAAATGAGTTTGCACACTCACTCATATAAGAGAATAAGGGGGATTGTTTAAAACCATTTGATGAATTTCTACACATAAACACCTTAGAGCTCCTGAACATAGAATATGCTATTCCATTCTCTCTGTATTGCCCGAACAGCAGTGTCCAGACCCTGAGTACCACATACAGAAATCTCAATACACGACAGAAACAAGACTCCATTTAATCAAATACTCCATACAAACAGACCCAAAAAACACTAGTCGTTTGGCACTGAAAATGTTTTCCTGTGTAATTCAGTTTATGGGCAAAGAGTGTGTGCCTAAAAGAGGGTCATCGAGAGAAAGAGAGATGGGGAAGAAAGAGAAGATGGGAAGAATGTGTAGGAGTCAGAAAAATGGACCACCATCTGCTCAGGATATTAGTGAGAATATAATGAAAGTGGTTCACTGCGGTTTATCAATCCGTCTTCATATAAGCAATAATGAGTCGTCTAAATGAGTGACATCGGTTAAAGGGCTCCTCTAAGCATTCACTGCTTACATAATCAGTTAACTGGAAATAATTGGCAGCTGACCTGATTTGAGTCCAGTTTTATTCTTGTAAAATGAATTAAAGGGGCAGTTCACCCTGAAATAGTCAAAGCTGCTCATTTCTATACGGTGAAAGGGGAATGGTTGGTGACCCATCCAATTGCATTACATGAGCAGCTTGGACAATCGGCTGAATATCTCCTTTCGTGTTTCACGCAAAAAAGTTTGGAATGATATGAGGGTAAAGGCCTGTTCACATAAAGACAAATATTTGGTATGATAAACATTCATTTAAATGTATTTGAATTAATGTGTCTGTTCAGACCGACACAATCATTTGCATACCATTAATGCAACTTTTTAAAATGTATTTATGAAGAGGTGTTGTAATCTCTCTTCCATTGCACTGAGAAGAAAACTGTAAAACCAATAATATTTGCGCTTTTGATCACATGCCATGAGCCACTGCTGTTACATAAAACAATGACTTGGTGGTGCTCACGAACAGACTATTTTGCTAAGCAAATGTGAATAACAGACAAAGAATCTAGTGTTGTTTGATAATCACAATAGTAAACACAAATATCGGAATGGCTGTTCGAAAACGTAAATATGGTTTGACTTCCTTTTTCTCCATGACAACTGGGCATCAGAAACAGAACACTGCACAACACTTAGAATACCAGTGTAAATGGGGTATTTCTGCTTTTGAACAGAGCCACCGACTTAATAGAGTGAATTTTGTCATTTTTATTCAGCCTGTTTGACATTTTTAAGCATTGGTCTGAATAGGCAAGTATTTGCTATTAATGCTATTTAATTTCTGGGTGAACTGTCCTTTTAAAATTGAAACACGCACAGTGAGAATTTCATAATGATAAAAATCTAATTAATATGAGTGCTCTGCTCTGGTAATTAAACATCTCGATCATCAATGTCCCTTTACAATGATCGTCCACTCAGACTCTCTTTGTACTTTCAATACGTGATTCAAAAACGGGATGATGGGTTCGCCTGGCAGACGATCCGATGTAAACAAGGGCGTATTGTTTTGAACGGAGTTAATACAGGCCGAGAGGGACCGTGATGACATTGAATGGCAGTTCACTTTCGCTGCACAGCTAAACACCATATCCAGATCCTTCCCTCAATTGGCTTGTCTGTTTTGAGTGAAAGTGACTCCCTCTCTTTCCACATCAGCGCCTCGGTGGCATGTTTGCATGTGTGTTCGAGGGCCCGTTAGCACTGCTGACTGACAAATAGACCTTTTGGAATGTGAAGACATGTGTAAACAATGACACATTCTGTTCCTGCAGAGAGACAAAGTGCTGCAACACGAGAGCCCTGCATCCGGTGTGATCCGTATGCGGCATTTGCGACATTCACAAACATGGAAAATAAGCCCTGTTCTAGATAATGGTTATACCGAGCGCTCAAACACGCTGTATGAGAAAGCCCTGTTTTCTAGAATTGATTGAATGTGAAGACAAGAGCCTCTTTTAGTGTCTAGTAGTTACATAAGCCCCTTTGTTTCACAGTACGACACTGTGTGTGTTTATATATCGTATCTGAATGAAATTAGAAAATTGTATGGTATGAAAAAAATGGAAAGCAACAGAGATATGGAACCACCATTATATGGAGAAGGCCATATTTCAGGCATGCTATGATGGATAGGGTTAAGAATTGCACATTAACATATACAAAAAAGGCAAGACGCCATTGCTATTATTTTCTACACATGTACAGAGGTTATGATGGCAGCACACTGCATCAACAGCTTACCAAGTTAATAGCATCTTTTGTCCATGCTGTAGTCTTATGCACTAGAACGCTTGTGGCATAGTCTGTCTTTCACACAAACCTGGCCTAATATAGATTCCATACAAAATCGACTCATTTAGCCAGGATGAGAGGACCAGGATGGAAAGATCCAAATGGTATGAAGGAGAAAGAATAGTTTTCCGCCAAATTATCAAGGCCAGGTTTCATGAGAACCATAGGCAGGAAAAGTGATTCATGTGCAAGACTGACAAAAATGAAAAGCCTGAAGGATGACTAGCAATAGCAGAATCCAGTTCAATGTCAAGGTAAGCCTCAAGTCGGTGGAAACAGAGTGTAGTGGAGCAGTTTGGGTCATGATCATCTTCTGCTCGAAGGAATGGAAGGACAATGAGGAACTCTTCAGGATCTATGAAGACACTCAAGAGGTGGGTGGTTCGTCCTCATGTAAGTCCTCGAGCTCAACTTCTCTACCAGCCTCTCCACTGCTCCCTTTTCTGAGAGAGAAAGAAAAACAGAGAGAAATTCTGAATCATTGCCTTTCTATATGATCCCTGCTTTGATCCAGTAGTTGATCTTGAAAGGCAAGCTTTTGTAACAGCAGTGTCCAATCTTGCTCCTGGAGGACCACTGTCCTGCAGAGTTTAGCTGCAATCCCAGTAAAACAACTGAACCAAGGTAATCAAGCTCTTCAGGATTAAGATGTAAGGCAACCAGCAGCAGTTTGTCTCACTTTTTATTTACTTTAGGGCAAATAAATCTGAAATCAATGATAACACAATATTATGTGCCTAATGGTTAGAGGGGAAGTCATGGCCTAATGGTTAGAGAGTCGGACTCATAACCCAAAAGGTTGTGGGTTCGAGTCTCGTACCGGCAGGGATTGTAGGTGGGGGGAGTGAATGTACAGCGCTCTCTCCCACCTTCAATACCACGACTGAGGTGCCCTTGAGCAAGGCACCGAACCCCCAACTGCTCCCCGGGCGCCGCAGCATAAATGGCTGCCCACTGCTCCGGGTGTGTGTTCATGGTTTGTGTGTGTTCACTGCTGTGTGTGTGCACTTTGGATGGGTAAATGCAGAGCACTAATTCTGAGTATGGGTCACCATACTTGGCCACATGTCACGTCACTTTCACTCACTTTTCACTCACTCACTTTCACTAAATAATAATTAAAAACTGCACTGTGAATGGTTCCATAGAAAAAAGTAGGAAATTAGCAGAAATGATATGAATTCTTTGTGATTTTGTCTAGGTATAGTTTTTTTTTTTTCAAAGACATTGCATCTGACAATATCCCATTTAGTTGCTATCAAGTAACTTGAGGAAAAAAAACATTTTTATATCTTGATAGCTTATAATATTTTTTAAATCTTGTAGGCTTCAAACCAGCTAGTTATATATGACAAAGTATAGTTCAGGTGAATAGTTAAAAATAGTTGGATATGAAGAAATTAATGCTTTTATTCTGCAAGGACACATTAAATTGATCAAAAGTGCCAGTAAAGACTTTTGCATTGTTACAAAAAAATTCAATTAAAGGTTGTTTTTAAGGATCTATTCTGAAAAAATGACCATGGTTTTCACAAAAATATTAAGCACTGTGTTTTTTGAGCACCAAATCAGCATATTCGAATGATTTCCAAAGGATCATGTGACACTGAAGACTGGTCTACCTTCATAACATAAATCATGCACAAAAAAACTATGCACAATGCATTTAATGCAATGTGCATTATATTAAACAGGTGTGAAGCATTTGTAGGAAGACAGTCTGTGGTGACTTGAAACTATCCAGTATTAAATTGAAAACTAGAAATTTTCTTTGAGCACACTGACGAACAATCTTAGAGGAAACACATGAACATGGGAAGGTTCGCTGCAAAAGACACAACTGCACACAGAGGTCTCATAACGTTCATAGTGGGATTGAATGAAAGATCATGACATGAGGTGTTTCACATGGTTAGACTCTTCTATCACCAAATACTTTCACTGTCATGAAGCAAGAGAAATGCCACACAAGGACAGGATGGAGGCTGAAATGACTCATACTTTCACTGACCCGTGGGAATGCATGGAGAAGGGCAGGGAATCTGACACAGGGCTTGAGTGACAAATGACAATGACCACCTGTCACAATGAGTTACCTTAACGAGGGCTGGAGTTTAAAAGAGGGCCGGAACAGCCAAGAGTCCCTGCAGCAGAGAGAGACAGAGAGTGGAGGAAAGGGAGGACAGTGTCAGCGGTTTCATGTGAAGTAAATCGGCAGGAACCAGGTCATTATAGAGGCTCCTGTGAGTTATTGCTGGTCAAAATGCCAGTTACATTAATAGGGAAAGGTTTACTGCATTTAAATTATGTTCTGCAATAAAAATCAGTTTATGAAAATGGTACTCCTCAGATAATCTTATAAAACTGCAGTCAGAGATAGTTGATTTGCATATACTTCTAGCTTAGTGCTGTCAGAGACAGATAGCGTTAGCATCAACAATTGAAGAGAGACGGATGTGCCCAGACGCTTAGAAAAACTCATCAAATGCCAAGCATATTTGTCCAGAGACAGCGTTTAACCCTTGTATTTGACAAACATCAACAGGAAATATTATCAACTAACTCCAGTCTGGGCTTCATGAGCATATGAATAGGTTACCCACAGTCAGTGGTGGACAGTAACGGAGTAGTTTTAATTCGTTACTGTACCTTGAGTAAAATTGAAAAAGGAGTACTTTTACTTTTACTGGAGTAATATTTTATGATATGTATCTGTACTTTTACTCAAGTACTTGATTTATGTACTTCGTCCACCACTGCCCACAGTCAACCTGCGCTCTGTGGCTAGAAAATGGAAGCAATTTTTAAGGTGCTGGAGGCCAGAAAAAGTGCTGAAATGTAATAATGTGCAGCCATATTTTCATCACAGCCAACAAATGTGTAATGATACGGCCATTTCTTTTCCTTTGCGGCAGTTATGATTCAGTGATGTGTATAGCGTTATACCGTGTCCTAACAAGGCCTACACAGAAAGTAAAATGTGGCACGATACAACAAACTGAAAATCGTATTAAAAACATATTTCATGTTTAATATACAGCTGTACAGTGCGGGCAGGTGCTATCCAGCACAAACAAAAGATAATAAGCTGACAAAATGTGATATAAATTGTGGCTGATACGATAATAATTATTTTGATGTTACAGTCAATAAATGATAAATTAAAGATATTTTAATTGTGTACTAGTGAATTTTTTGATTAAATGTATATATATATATATATATATATATATATACATAAATACACACAAATATACATAAATATGTATGTATTAGATAGATAGATAGATCGATAGATAGATAATAAAAAAGTCATAAAAAATTAAAGTTAACAATATTATTAACTTAATATTTAAAAAAATTAACTTGAGTTCACACTATATTGCAGAAAAATAAGTAGAATGGAGCATGGAAAATTAATTTTACAGTACTGTATAGCTGTTAGAAAGAAATTACTATTATATTGTGCTTGGTTATTAAAGTGGCAATATTCTGAGAAAATGAATATCTAAGAGAGATGTAGAAAATGTAATCCTAATTAATACAATCTTCATGAGATTCACAAGAATCTCAATCCTTGCTGCCATCACAGAGTAACAACTGCAGTCGCCCGAGAGTGTATGAATGCCTCAGAAAGGGAGGGGAAGTGTGTGTTGGCTATGCACAGTAAGTGTGTGTTTAGATGAAAAAGGTTATTAATGTGCAGGAGGTAGTGTATTCAACCTGACACTGAATTATGGATGACATGCAAATGAGCACCCCTGATAGTTGGGAGATTTAAAGGGACAGAGGGATTTTCAAAATTCTGATGATGACATTCTACCAACTGGGGGCGCTGCTGCTTTTTATCCATTCAATCAAAAACACTATAACTCAGAGGGAACAAGTAACTGACAAATGGCTTATAAAAAAATTATAGAGGTAAATGAAAATACAACCAACTGCTTCTTGGAACAGGAGGTGATCTGCTGAGTCACCGTATTGATCCATCTTGTTCCCCAAGAGATTTCACCTTTTTCAACAGAGAGGTCACACCAAACAAGCATGTCAATTTGTTTACAGATCAAATAAAATGACCTTTCAGTTTTGATTGTACGAATAATAACTGCATACGGCACATAACCCATCGCAGAGAGATTTCAGCCCTGCATTAAAATATACACAAGGCTGCCTTTGGTCTACATGGGATGCATACAGAGATAACCAGACTGTTTGTATTGATCCAGGGCATTCAGAAGACAGAGAGCAACCCTCTGCTGATTCTGACAGGCATCACACAGACAGCACACAGAGAGGAAGAGTGAGAGAACATTCTGCTGTCCTTGAACAAACCCCCTTTAATGTGGGAAAAGCAGCAGTGTGGGGACAGAAATGACTTCATGGAGACACTTACTGTCAGTCTAGTGGGCAGATACATTAACAGCAAAAAGCCTCTGAGAATAACTGTCACAGGAGGGATGCTGCAAACATCCAGCACAATTCAAAGAAACTGAATTACTGTTGTGACTTTTTTTTAACCTTTGAATGAAAACATGAAAATTAGTTTTTAAATTAATTATAAATTAAATTAATTATAAACACACAAACACTAAATTAATTTAACCCTCTACCGCATGGTGTAGCCATATGGCAACATACTCTTTGTGTTCATTTCCTTGCCACAGTCTCTTTAAGAGAACATTCTCGCAAGTTAGATCCACTATTGTATGCTGTTGCCGTATGGCAACATATCATAAAGTACCTTAAAATAATATTTTTTTCCACATTTTTTTTTACAGCACTTCAAGTTAAGCCATTCTTAGAAAAGAAAAAGATTCAAATATTTTTTTTTATAGGTCTATCATAATGTGTGCGGTAGAGGGTTAAATTGATATATAATATAATATATTTATATTATATATCAATTTATAATTCATTCAATTGATTTATAAATTATTTTAAATAATAATTTTAAATGTGTCAAATTTTTACATTTTCAAAACGTATATATCAGTAAAACAAATCTGTATATATAGTAATTTTTTTCTTGACAAGAATTTTCTTGACAAGAACTGCAGTCAGATGAGATGTTGTCAGGCCATATGTCAGTAAAAACAAATTTTCCTGTCCTGTCAGTCATTATACTGTGCTCGTAGCGCACTGTAGCCTGTATCATTTCATATGAAAGCACGAATGAAACTATAAACATGCGTGTCAGATCTGCATCATGTTCAGCAGTGGCAGCTCTTAAAGTAATAGCAGCCAAATAACCTAATAGCCCAGCTGCTGTGATGTCTGTTTATTTAAAGAACAAAAGAAAAAAAGGGAAAATCAATAACTTTTTTAGCTTTAATTATTCATCTGTATTTAATGTAGAATTTAGAGTTTGATAATTTTATCCAATTTCTGTATATTTCCTACTTGCTGAAGGGCACAGGTAAATATGACATTTATTATAATGGGTTTATGTGAAGATTGTTTTAATTTCACTTCAGTTAGAAGTTGTTATTTTTTAAAGTAATAAATGTTCAAATTGACAGCTCTCAATTATACTGTAATGTTGAATGGCTATAGTCAATGGTTAAATATTAGGAAAAAAGACCAGTTTCCTAGAGACATCAGTAGTATTGGTATCAGTGATACTCGCCTTCAGTCATAAAAAAAGATGCCATTAAACAAATATAAAAAATATACTGTCTTTATGTTGTTTCTACATTAATTTGAAGATTGAATGTGAATTTTTTGCAATATAAAAATATATTTAAAAACGTGAATATTAGGTGGGATTAATCGCGATTAATTTCAGAAAAAAGTGTGATTAATAAATGATTTTAGCAAATGGCTGCAATATAAAAAAGAGTGAAAAATTTAAGGGGGTCTGAATACTTTCCGTACCCACTGTATATATATATATTAGGGAAAAAAGGAGGAAAATACAATGCCAAAACTCATTTTCCTCAAGTCTGATCTCATCTAGAAAATATCTGAAAAACATATAAAAAGATTGAATCTGAAATCTAAATGATTGATAAGGGAGTCAGCCGTCTCTCCTCAGTGTAGTGCGGAGGAGAAAGTTCTAGACAGGGAAATTGTGAAAACATCAAGTCCTGGAGCTTTCAATGCTAGTGCAAGAGGAAAAAAACAACTGAATCATGCTACTATGGAAACGTATGTTGGCAGCAGGAGAAGTAATGGTTGACTATTAGCAAACCTTCCTGTTCAAATAGATAGACATGACGTCTGAAATATCATGCTGCGACCTTGAATGTGAGAGCGAAAAAAGCAAAGAATGAAAGATGCAATGCTGAAAAGATTTCAGCCTCTTACAAGGGGCTTGTGAGGAAAAGGAAAGTCATTTGGATTTGTCAAGGTATATAAATATGGCTTCTTGCTGGTCATCGGTTGCTATAGTTTGTCAGTTTGGAACACTTACATGAGCAGACTGCCAGGTGCAGACATAGATCTCTCTTCTCTCCTGCTGGGACACTCAAATGGATTCCCAAAGGAACGCTTCCTTAACATGGCTTTGACCAAAATCTACAGTAACAACAACAAGATATCAATTACTGTACATATCAAAGAAAACAGATCAGGGCATGTGGAAATACAACACATACAAATACAAAACATTAATGGAAAAACAGCAGTGTGCTAAAAATACTATTTACTGAAATGTGATGGTGAGAAGGACTAAATCTATGTAAATAATCGAGGAAAAACTGACAGTTCAGAAGCAGGGTCAGTTTGACGTGGTTAGGTTTCAGTTGTTTGGTTGAGGTCAAGTGTGTCTTAACCTTCTTATTCATCCACTCATTGACAGCAGTACAAAGTCTTAAAAACATCTGGGCAAGGCGTGTGGCCTCTGTGTGTTTATGTTCATGTAACTACTGTTCAGTAGCTCATGTATTTAATACACAGACGCCCTTGTGCTTGCTCTGTTTCACTTACCACAGCAGACAGACTGGGGACAAACTTCACTGAGTTCTGCACCTCTTCTTCAGTGACTTCCACTATAGTACAGTGCTCCTCTTCTAAAGGCAAATGGTCAGTGCCATCCTGAGTCACCCAGGGGTCCACCTGAAGATAGACACACATACATATATAACACATGCCAACCTATCATTCCAATCTATCCATTTATGTACTCTTCCATTAAATCATCCATTTGCCTAGCCATCAACTGTCCTTCTATTCATCGTTTCATCCACTGATCCTTTAATTCTTCCATCCATCCATCTGTCCATAGATCAATCCACACATATTTTTCTTCCATCGATTAATCCATTCGTCCTTCCATCTATTGTTTCATGTCCAGCCATCATCTATTCATCCATCCATCTACAGTATAAGTCCGTCCACCCATTTATTCATCTGTCCGTAGATCAGTTTTTACATCTTTTCTTTCATCCATCCATCCATCTATTGTTTTATCCATCCAGTCATCATCTATCCTTTCATCTATCCATCCAACCATCTGACCATCCATTTTTCCATTGATTAGTCCATTCATCTAACATTCTATCCATCCTTTCATTAATTCCTCCATAAATCCATTAAACCATTCACCCATGCTTCCATTCATCCATTCATCCATATGTCCATAGATGAGTCCATACATCCATTCATCCATCTATTGTTTCATCCATTCAGCCATAATCTATCCTTCCATTCATCTTTACATTTGTCCATTTATCTTTTTTATTTATCTGTCTGTAGATCTGTCCACACATCTTTTCTTCCATCCATCCGACCATCCATTTTTCCATTCATTGGTCCATTCATCTAACTTTCTTTCATTCAATCCTCCATAAATCCATCAAAACATTCATCCACACATTCATTCATTCGACCATTCATCCATCCGACCATTCATTTTTCCATTCATTGGTCCATTCATCTAACTTTCTTTCATTCATTCCTCCATAAATCCATCAAACCATTCATCCACACTTTCATTCATTCATCCATCCATCCGTCCATAGATCAGTCCATACATCCATCATCTATCCTTCCATTCATCTATCTATTGGTCTGTAAATCCATCTGTCTGTAGATCTGTCCACACATCTTTTGTTCCATCCATCCATCATCTATCTATCTGACCATCCATTTTTCCATTCATTGGTCCATTCATCTAACTTTCTTTCATTAATTCCTCCATAAATCCATCAAACAATTCATCCACACTTACATTCATTAATCATCCATACATCCATTCATCCATCTATTGTTTCATCCATCCAGCCATCATCTAGCCTTTCATTCATCTATCCATCGGTCTGTCGATCTGTCCACACATCTTTTCTTCCATCCATCCATCCATCCATCCATCTGTCCATTCATTGGTCCATCCATCTAACCTTCTATCCTTCCATTCCATTCATCTGCTCATCCATCAGTCCTTTAATTTATCCATCCATTCAAATATCTGTACATTGTTCCATATATCCATTCGTCTATTCACCCATCCAACCAGAAAATCATTAAAGAAATAAAACATTTGTCCTAAAAACAAAGTTAGTCTAAAGGATATAAGAGTAGAGCTGTTGAGTGAATGTAGGCTGTGCAGCTCTGATTAACGTGTGCTCTGGGGATCGCTGCTTTAATGGAACATTTTCTGTGTAATGACATACAGGCAGGAGTCTCTGATGGCCGAATGTGTGTGTGCTAATTATTCACACTCTCTGTCACACTGAGACAGCAGATGGAAGTTTCCAGAACTGAACCAACATCTCTGTCCATGGGGATTAGCTGATGTGTTCCTGCCCAAACACCAACTCTGCTAGATGGTGCAGAAGCTATCAGAGATACTGTGTCATATTTTAACACTATCCCTGGATGTGGCTCAGGAATGGTCTTTGATAGAAACACTGCTGCTTTGAGAGTGCAGACTAATGAGACACTCTCGGGAATGTTCTTTGGACATTTCTTTTTGAGATACTGACTATAATTTCAATATTAAGTGATGTTGCATTCAATCTCTCTGGTATGCATAAAGATAAATTTAATACCATCCAAATCAAAAAGTCAAATGTGGACATTCATTTTAATTTAAATAGAAGAACTCCTAAGTGAATCTTTGAAACTCAGTATTTTGCAATACAGATCTGTGAAGATGGTGAAAGGGATTACTTGCCTCTCTCAATTTCTGAAGTGCTCCTTTTGTGTCTTATGTAGACTTACTTTGATCTCAGGAATGGTGATCCTGGTGTCTGGGTTTTTGTCCAGCATTCGTGAGACCAGGTTCTTCAGCCCCTCACTGATAGCTGGCCTGAGATATCACAGAAACACAGAGCAAATAGCTGAAGTAGTAAAACAAAACCAAAACATCTGACTGCACAGCTAAACAATGACAGCACGCTTTTACAAGAGGTGACACACTGCAGACATAGAAACACTGTTTCAAACACACACTGACTGTCACACAGCTTCTGTAACAAGAGGAGGACGGACGGATATCTTTAATGCTGTTATAACGTAGCATAGAGAACAGTAGAATAAAATGGAATTGTACAGTAAAGTACAAAAACCAGTACAGAAGGGCAGTGTATTGTTGTCTTTTTTCCTGGTACAACTATCTAAACATCCTTAAAACAAGATGGATTCATATGTTATCACTTGAATTAGGCTGACTCTGTTGAATATATCTCTTTTTCCCCATTCCCCTAATTTCTTTTCTTGTTTTAAGCAAAGACTTAAAATTTAGTGAGGTTTATGCTTTAAAAAAAACTAAACAAGTGAGTGGAGAAGAGGCAGAGTGTAACAGTACATTTATAGCAGAGTTACAGTAGAGTTTTAAAACTGCAGTCCAAATGTTTTGCCTTTTTGTCGCCATCTCTGTTTGAAACCTGCAATTGCAGTTATTTGTGGAATTATCTTCTTTACTTAGGTTGTGCATCCGCATGGCTCCTCAGAGCGAATTAATCTAATGTTTTGAGGAGTATGTGTGGGCTGTCAGTCAACACACCAGTATGGATATTCACTGTACTTCAGAATTACAGATACTATGTCTTGGAAGTAGGTCCAAAATAAGAAGTTTTGCCAGAAAATGTCATCTGAACAAGTAAGTAACATGTCTGCCAGTTTTGTTCTGACAAACTGAAAAAATAATGTTTTACAATAAATCACGCTACCAATGGTGATTGAAGTTAGCTCAGATCACATCAAACTGTGCAAATTATTATAATTGTTATACTTTGTTCTCAAATTGTTAATGTTAACAACATCAACATTGCGTGACTACGTGTATTTAGTGTGTATTGTAATTGTCATTGTAATTGTCTAATTGTCATTCCATTAGGGGTGGGGGAAAAAATCGATACAGCATAGTATTGCGATATTTTCCATGGCAATATTGTATCGATACACGGACGCCAAGTATCGATCTTTTAATATACTATTTGGTAGAATAATAAAATCAATTTCTTTACAATCCTCAGATGGTGGTGTTGGGTCACCTTCAGCATGCAGTAAGTTAGTAAAATAAACAGGGCGGCATCGCGGAAAGTTATCAGGAAAGCCCCGTCCGCGTTTAAATCGGATGTATGGACTTACTTCGGATTTGTAAACAAGGAGGGGTTGTAAGTAGGGATGCACCGAAAATATAGGCTGCATATAATAATAATAATAATAATAATATACTGTATATGGCGCGCCGCGCCCCCCCCCGCCCCGCCCCGCCCCGCAGTGTTCAGCGCGCATGTTTCACTCTCCTCGTAACTGCACGGTTTGACGCTCCGCTCAATATATACTCATGCTCATCGGAAAAGCAAAGTCCGCTCAAATAACTCGCTGACAGGAAATTTCTATGCAGCATAGGCCTGCTTGTTCCGGTTTGCGGTAGCGCTACTGTGCTGTAACATGGTGTAGACTAGTTCAGCTGTACTGGGCAACGCTGGTAAAATAATGCTACCTTCAGTGACGCTATGCTCTGCTATGCTATGCTCTGCTC